ACCCAATGGGAAAGTGGAAAGGTTGTATTGGCCTGTGAGTGCTAGTGAAGTCATGAAGACCAACCCTGATCACTATGTTGCTCTTCTTATCTCCACCACATTGTGCACATCCAAGGACAATCAAAATTGCCAAATTAAGATTGAAAACAACTACCCCAACACCACCAACCCTGTTCGTCTCACCCGCATCAAGCTTCTCAAGCCAACAGATACCCTTATGCTTGGCCAAGTTTATAGACTAATCTCAGCTCAAGGTTTGTTTCAACTTTCTGCTTTAGTTTTCAGTTTCACCCTTTCCTTTTTTTAACTCTTTTCTGTTGTTATTTCCCCTTAAATTGTTCCAATTTTGAATCTTTATGTGGCGTTTTTCTCAGAGGTTATGAAGGGTCTTTGGGCAAAGAAACAAGCAAAGCTGAAGAGAAACTTGCCAGAATCAGCACAAAAGCCAAATCTGACCAAGGAAAGGACAGACAAATCTGCAAGAAGGTCTGAGCCGGAGGACAACCTGGTAAATCTCAATCAAAGTTTGGATTTTACTGTTTCTACTTTCTTACTTGTTTATGATTGTCAAAATTTATCTTTAAAACAGGTTCCTGGTGTAGTATTTTTGCTTATAGACAACCAGTTTTTCGTTAAGCAACATTAAATAATGTGTTTGTAAGAAGGTCTGGCTATGCAAACTGATTCAGATGTATTTCTACTAAGGCTTTTCTAGTTCGTTTGGGAGCTTGATACTTCATGTTATCATTTTGCTTACCCGTTTATTCTCCAGTGACTTGTATAGAATTAAGAAAACTTACAATAAGAAAGGAAATATTAGATTTGTTAAATTGAATTGCAAGGAGTTATAATAGTGGATTTTATTGAGAAAGGAAAGAGAAGAGAGAGAGATTTGTTTAAAGGTCATATGTAGTTGGTGGTTTGAGCTATGTGATTCTTAATTTTTAATTATGATTTTCAGGAAACGAAAGGTGAAAGACAGGGGTCAAGGACAGCATCAAGTAATAATGCTTCTGGTGCCACAGCTAAGTCAAGAACATGGCAACCCTCTTTACAAAGCATCTCAGAGGCAGCCAGCTGATCTGTGTTTTCAATCTTTCCCACATGTGATGTGAGGGACAGAGGAGCATTGAGCGACACTCAAACCACCAAAAACAAATTAATCAATCCTTCTCCATCATTGCTTAGATCTGTGGAAATTAAATTAAATTAAATATAGTACATTCGGGGAACCCAGAGAAAACTCAGATCATAAACTTCCCCTTCGGTTCACCAACTGCCTTCATGCATAATAATTCTGTATAGTAAAGGTTGACATATTGAACATCAATTAATGTATTCAGATCTTACTTTCTGGTGAAAGCACCCTTCAACATCATAACTTCACCGTTTTTCTTATGTATTTTTTTTCCATATATGGCTCATAATACATCAGCATCAGACAGATAATTACCGAAAAAAAAGTAATATGTTTGTGAGCACCGTCACACAAGGCTTAAAGCAAATCATGGTTGCAAAAGAAATACTTCAAGGCTTAAGGGTAACTGCGAGAACATGAACAGGTTCTGTGATCAGCTATTGGCCGATCTCTTATCTTATTTTCTTAATTTCAAGAAAAGAACAAGTTGGCCACCAGAATGTTACAAAATACTTAAGAGCAATGTTTAAAGTACTACATATCATTCACACACACAAAAGAACATTTTAAGAATTTTGATGTACGTTTACTGTTACTACTATGTGGAAGAAAGAAAAATAGAGGGTAGTTTTTATTAAATAAATAGATAAGATTTGAACAGTATTGATGTATGAAGGAATAATTATGAGATGGGGCAAGAACTTGGTTGTCTTGAAGCATCCAGTTGTGTAATTTAAAAATGAAGAAGAGGCCTCAATGAGTATGAAGAAAGTAGTAGTAAGATAAAGAATGTGTGGAGTAGAAATGAAAAGTAAAAGGAGTGAGGAGAAGGAAGATGTGACACAACACAAGGTTTACTTTAAAACAGTTGCAATAGATGTGCCTGTGCAGTTCATGACTTTAGACATGCATGACATCCCAGGGATATTTTTTGTTGCATTAGAAGCAGAACATTTTATTTTTCTTGTGGCCCATTGCATTATTCGTCTCTAAACTTTCTCTCTGTCTATTGCTGGTAAAGCAAAAGACCCTTTATTTTGCTTTGTCTTTTTTAATTGTTTGCTTTCCCTTACTTAAAGATTTTGCATCAACAAGGATTAAAAAACGAAGAAAGAAAAACTATAGAATAGGACAATTGCAACCAGCTCACCACTCGTGCACTTCCTACGCACGAAATTTAGTTGCACTGCACGAGGGGTCTAAAGATTCCATCATCGTCTACATAGAATTCCTTCCACACGGCCCACCAATATTTGGCTTCTTTAACTTTTCTTCCCAAAGTGCTTTCCTTGTGTTTAAAAAATCCATAACATCAGCCACTGCATTCTTTCTTTCCTGCTTTTTCTTTGTCTGTTTTTTTTTTCTACTTTATTTACCTTCTGTATGATGAACAATCATGGAGGATACGCATTGATATTCGAGTAAAACTTTCCTTTTCTCTTTCCGATTGCAGCTATGTATGTTTCGGTCATTAATTTGTATTATCTTTTTCACACCACAGTTTCACAACAATACTGGCTAGAGATGCATGTATGTGATATACATACCTGAAAAAGAGGAAGTGGATGTCTATTTTGTCTCTCTTTTTTTTGTTGATTTTTAAATTATAGTTTCAAAGTGATTGGTTTTTTCATACAGAGAATCGATGGATATTAAATAGATCATTCTTTTTCGATTTGATACTACTTTTAATTCAAAATTTTAAAATAATAAATTTATGAATTTTTCATTTTATATAGTATTTAATTTTGTCTTTTTTTTTTATCTATTTTAACTCACTCTTGAATTATTCTTAACAATTTTTTTTAAAGTGAGTCCAATTTCATATAATTTATTTCTTCTTTAAGTGAACGTTGCAGCAATATAACTCGGTCATTTTAAATTATCAATTCTAATATTATTGACGAGATTGATAGAAATTCTTATTAAGAAAATATTATATATATGACTTGAGTATTATACATGTATCATGAACACGATGGCAAAAAAATTCACACTCGCAGAATTGCAGGACAAAATCTATGATGGATCGTTGGTACTTGCAGATATTTATTATCCGCAGTTGCATGTATTTTAATATCCGTTTATAAACCGACCAGGTGTGGATATTATACTATATGTATCCACGGATATCCGTTACCAGCAAAAAATAAAAACAAAAATTTAATTTATATTTTATTAAGTTAAATTTAATTAAAATTAAAATTAATTAATATTTTATAAGGTTAAATTTAATTAAAATTAAATTTTAATTTATATTATATTTTATTATATCTTTTTTGTAATTTTATTTAAATTTTATTTTAATAAATTATAAAAATATTTTTTTAAAATATTTGCGGGTATCCGTAGATATCACGAGTACCCGCGAATTTTAAAATATGTGAGTATTTTTTAAGCTGACATCTGTATGAGTAGCAGATAATTTTTTTTTTTCAAGTCAAGTTGCAAATAGACATTATCCGTATCCACACGACCCGTGGTATCCCTAGTGAGTTTTAACAAATATTTTTTTTAAGTTAAAATCTTTAAACAATATATTTATAAGTATTTTATATTATAAAATATTTAACTTTGTCTTTTTCTAATGCAGGACTTTGAGTGGTATTTGAATTATTTGATCACATAGAGACGTTGATATTTAATGGAAGCAAAATCAACCATTCCTTAGACTGAAAGTGATTATATGTAGATAAAGTAACCAATTGTGGTTGAACAGAAGAAACAAACAGCTATTAAAACACAAGTTAAGAAACCGCCTTCAAAGTTTGACTGATAATGTGTTAAGTTAGCTTGCATGGCATTCATTGTCAAATCATTTTCCAGGCTGCACAGAAAGATCGAATAAATGAGAAAAGTGTTTATAATCTTTGTCTTGGAAACAAATCCCTCATACACAGGGCAACTAGAGTGGTTGCGGATTTCTCGGTCATAGACATGTTTACAGCTCGTGCACACTCAACCTATACGTGAGTTGTACAAGTATTCAAACTCTTAAAAGCAAAACCTGGACATCTCAGAAGGACTAAATTTGACTGTAGACCACACACAAATATGTTTAAGACAAACAGATATGTTAATTTTGGACACCCTTTTCACAAAGGATTCAATGTTACTTTTGTTATGCGTTGGTTTTCAATTATATGTCTAAAAATATAAATTATTCAAATTCATTTTGTCTTACTTAAATGGAGTGGAATCTTTTAAATTAGGAGAGAATTATTTATTTATTTTTATTTCATAAAAGAGAAAAAAAAATCGATATACACTAAATTGTCTAAGTAAAATTGTAATTTTTGCTTTGTTTACGTTAAATCGGACTGAAAATTCGAAAATAAATTTAAGGGATATGATTTTTCATGTTGATGGTTAGATAATCAATCAGACCTATGTGATTAGATAAATCAGTATCATATTATTACTCAATTTTAAGTTTCTTTTTTGTATTTGAAAATATCATTGTCTTAATATATTGACTAGTTGCGGGTTTTGATTTAATTCATTAGCTTGTATTAGTGAATTTTTAATTTTCTCATTAAATATTGATGTTCTTTTCTTATAATTATTGCTATTATTTTATATTGCTGATACTTCTTGCAGATTCTTACAACTTTCACAGATTTATTACCGTGACATATTTTGATATTTTATGTTGTGTTGTTATTTTTCATAAACTTTTTAAAAAAAATTCTATATATGTTTAAAAAATAAAATAAAATAAACATTTTCAGAACTTAAAAAATTTAATTTGTGCATGAGTTAATACAAAAATATTTAGATTATTCTTAATTTACAAATTCTTTTCTAAAAATATTATGAATAAATTTATTGAAGTATATATTCACCTTATATGCACGAAACGGGCAACAATAGGAGTTTAATTGAAATGATTGAGCAAAGTATACATGAATTCCTTCTGAAGTGAAAATAACAAAAATAATCCAAAAGAAATTTAAAGTTGTGGTTACAAGCTTGGCACTCAAGTATTATAACATAAATAATGAAAGAAATAGAAGTTGGTGAAAGCTAAGAAGAGTCATGAGGTGAAGTTGCAGTGCCATTAGTTGGATGTTGTGTGGTGTTTTGAGTGGTGAGTTGAAGATTTTCATGCTTCACTAATTGACTGAAGTTACCCTTTTGCTTGAAGAGCTGAGTATGGTGATGTCTGCAATAGAGAAGATGTTCATGGGCAACATAATTTGAAGGGCTAATTACACAACCACCATGGGTGCATCTGAAACATGACTTGTGGTAAGATTTCCCATCGACAGCCACCTGAAGAAACAACTCTGCTATAAGTAAAAATAGACATCATCTGATTTGGTTTAAGGTAGTTAAGTTTTTCATTATGCTTTTATGGTCACTCTTTTTCTGGGGTATATCTTGGGATACCAAGTGTCCAGACCTATGAATGTGTGCATTTGACTTTCATCCAATTATAAACAAATATCTTCAATTTTTTTTATTTTATCTTCTCTAGTATTATATGTTTTATTTGAATCTAGTGTCTCCTATTTTTAGTATTTCAATTGCAAAATTTCCATTTTATTATTTAGATGTTTTAAAATTATAGCATTTATGTTTTTATATGATGATGATGATTGATTATTTTTATATGCCAGAGTGTGAGATGCGTTATTCGCTGTTATTTCTGGCTCTTTCAATTCATTTCTTTTCCCCTTTTTAAACAAATACTGCTATGATATTAAATATTGGAAAATTAATTTATGTTTCTAGTGGTACTTCCACGTTTTATAAGATTAAGCTAATGATTTTTGCAAAGTGAATTTGGTTTTAAAATAAGCACTGAGAACGTATCTACTGCTAATTTAATTTAAAGCCTGTTATGATATTAATCTTATAAAATTTAAGTGCATAGATTCTTAACTGTTCATTTCTACTACTTACAATTGTTTTAGAGAAATATTTATCAATGGGAAGATCTCAAGATCACTAACAACATTATATATACCTTTTCAATTGGGTACACCGTTTTCTTGCAAACAACACACTTTTCCTGAGTTCCAGAAAACAATCTTGAAACCTTGTTGTTTTGGACCTGTGGATTTCCCAGAGACAATACAGAGGGAATTACTTTTTTTTACTAGTAGCAATTGCATTTTTCTGTAATCCTAAAGATAGAAAGATTTTTTTTGTGTGTATTAAGAATGTGTAAAAACCTGATCAGCAGATCTTTCGACTCTAGCAATTCTTGGAATACCTTCAAGCATGAATTATAAAGTCAGATGAAAAGAGAACAGAATAACTTGAAAATAGTGTATATTGTTAGAACTAAAAGAAGTACTTGATTTGAAGAAATAAGTAACGTGCATCCAAATCTCAAACATCGAGAAGAAGATAGCTGTTAGATAAATGGTATGCTTTCAGAATCGAAATATGAATTCTTAAATTACTGTTAATAGAATAAAATAAAGATACATAAAGGATCTAAGATTAGGTTCTTTACAATTAAATGCATACCAGATACGATCAGAACTATTCATGAAAGGTACAAAAAGTTTATCAGATAATGGAAAAATGCAACCTCACACAGTAATAGTAATTCATCTGAAGAGTGTTGAGCACTCTTTGAAAGATATGAAGTAGAAATAGGAACTAATTCATCTGAACTTAGTGTCAACAGGAATATCCTTTTATTCTACACTTTGCCATATGGATTCGCCACATGGATTCACCTTGGCCTCTTCCCTACTCAGGGCCACATTCTCCTTATTCAGATTGAAAAACAAATAATATATCTCAATCTGTTATTCACACTGGACCATTCTCTCTAAGTTACAATAGATATCATCAATTCTGGTCTATTTCCAACCCTCAATTCTATGATTACAATGCTCCTTTTTCCTATATCTCATTCAAGTCACATTGTATGATTATTACTGGAAACAGAACAGATTTTTCGAGCATATACTCTTTAGCTATGTGTCCTCATAAAAGAAGAAAATATACACTTTCCAAGCATTAAATCATAAAAATCATCATCAATCCACCGGGGAGTAATGCCTGATTAAAAACCTACAAAGGTAGTAACAAAATTATAAAAGCAATGGTCAATTAAACCTTGCTCTAAACGTAGGAAAAACTACGGACCTGATTTCTAAACCAATGCGGAAACTCTGAGTGTATTCTAGCAGAAGTTTCCTTCTGCGATTGCTCAGCCACAACATGAGCGTGGTACAATGAAATTCATTGTGTATAAAAACAATTAAAACGTGATTTGATAGATTAGAGATGGATGATGACATACTCAAGGTACGGCTTTACTTCACGCAATTGATCAAGACATGATGAGCAGATTGAATTCAACACAGTTAACCAGTGAGTGAATTCTTTCCCTGCGTGACGGCCTGTTTGTCGGAAAACTGATAATGCACCTTCACGTGGTTCACTTGCCATTGCATTTCATTTCTGACATGAGTGGGGGACAACATGAAGTTCTTGAATAATGTGAACAAAAATAAGTTGTCTCTCTGGGCAAGTAAGCTGCACAAATTGAGCCTTCCACTCAGCTTTATTTTAACTGAGCGTTTGGATTCTCCCATAAACCTTTCAAAGGGATACAACACTGTATGCACGGGTCCCCCAAGCCAAGCTTCTATGCAAGATGAATTGGAATGTGCTCATTGAATCAAAGAATGCAGGAGAGGAATTTCTTCCAATTTGCAGAGAATAACGGGATTTTTCATCCATCTTTTTAAGGGAATCTTCTTTAGTGTCGTGCAACACAAATCTTTAAAGAAGTTACTGATTCTATCAGTGGATGTAACACTGTGTTGGCAAACAACTGAACGCAAGAGGGATGAAAGTCTCCATGAATACATGACAATCATGACTCTTCAACCCTTGAATAGTACCAGTCTGAACATTGGCACATCTGGACAAGTAGAAGCATATCCATCTGGCATTCTAAGCTCCTTGATCCATTCACCACACTATTTCTTGTCTCGTCTTTGACATGGTGTTATTGTTTGGTTAAATAATCGGCCGTTACCTTGTGCCTTCAACTCTAAGTCTTTTCGTCCACAATACAAAGGTAAATCTTTTTTGCTTTTCTCATTATCTTTTGTCTTACCTTTAACATCCATGACTGTGTGTTGAAGACATTGTCAAAGAAATTTTTTTCTGTGTGCATGACATCGATGTTGTGTCTTAGCAAGTTGCTTCCAATAGGAAGTTCCCAGAATATGCTTCTTTTAGTCCAATTATGCCATTCCCCAAACCCTTCTAGCCTATTCTGACCAGATTCAGTCACTTTTGGTAGTCTTTCACTCTTCTCCACACGTGTGATCCAGTCAACTTTGGCGGGGGCATATCCGTTTCAATTGTCCTTTCGAATGCCTTTTTGTTTCTTCAAAGGGGTGATCAATGGGCAAGAACCGTCGATGGCAGTCAAACCAACTACTTTTCCGGCCATGACTCAATTGGAATGACTTTGTATGTTCCATGCAATGTGGACAAGCTAATCGACCATGTGTGCTCCAACCAGATAACATGCCGTACGCTGGGAAGTCATTAATAGTCCACATCAAGGCTGCCTCATAAGGAAATTTTGCCTCCTTGAAACGTCATACGTCCAAAACCATTCCATAACTTCTTCAAATCATCAATCAAAGGCTCCAAGTAAACATCAATCAATGATTGGGATTAGATGGACCGGTATATACACGATATAAAAAACATGTAAGGCTTTGTCATGCACATTCTCAGGTGGTGAGATTGTATGGGGTAACTATAACGGGCCAACATGAATACGGTGATGCAGACTTGAATGTATGGGGTAAACCCTCAGAGCCATAGACCAAGTTGACGTTACGCGGTTTCACTAGCAAAGGATGGATGTTTACGATTGAAGTGCTTCCAAGCTTCACCATCAGAAGGATGACGCAAAAGTCCCGGAGTTTTGTTACCATCATGCCATGTCATGTGTTCTGTGTTTGCATTGAAGTAAACAATCTTTGTAATCTTGGAATTATGGTAAGTAGAACATGGACTTTAATGGAATTGGTTTTTTTGCCTCCGTCCAGCATGCATTGTCTGATATCGAGGTGAGCACAACAAAACTTGCACTTCAACCAACAGTGCATCATTTTGCCACTGTCATTGTCATAGAATAAACATACATCCATTAACACAACAATCAATCTTCTTCACATCCAATCCCAACCTTGAAACACAATTTTTGGCTTGGTAAAAATTCTTCGCATAAAATGTTTTGGTGGTGTCAATCTAACATCAGTTTTGTATAGAAGTCCACTGCTTGAATGGGAACGTTCCAATTAGATTTCCAGCCATGAGTCTAATGCACACTGACAATTTTGACTCAGATGAACCTTCAAATACAGGTAGATTTGCCTCTGTCAGAAATTGTAAAACCTCTGCGTCGTTTCATTTGGAGGCTCTTCATCATGACATCGTCTGCTTCTGCAGCATGGTGACGAAGAGCGTGGTCGACCATCTCTTGCATGTAGGCAAATTGATCTATCTCACATGTATGTACAACAGTATTCGAACCTGATGCAAGCCGTTTTTCAGCTGAGTGGAGGTCGAAGGAATTTCTTCACCATGAAATGTCCAGACCGTGTAATTAAGCATGAACCCTTTTTGGTAAAGGTGAACTTTGACGACTTCATCTTTCAGAATGCTTGTACATTCGCACTTGATGCATGGACATCGAATCCCTCCATCAAGGGCCATTAATATTGATATCGTCGGGCCGTCTCCCCGAACTTTTCAACTCCAATGACAAAAGATTCCTTCAAACCTCTCCTTCCACTATAACAACGGTCGTACATCCATGCACGATGGTTGGGAAAATGGGCCATGTTCTGTGACAAGCCAAAACAAATAAAAACTTAGCCAAAAACAGAACACTCCATGTCATAAGTAATAAACCTATTGCTACTCAAGTCGACATGGAAGCAATTTCAACAATATGGTCATAGGCATTCAATAAGGGCATGCAAAGAGAAGTCCTCGGTATTGAAATGCCTAGACATACTAAGGGGGGCTCTGTTGTAAAGTTGGAGGAGACAACTTATTAAAACAAAAGTTCTCTTCTCTAGAGTACTTCCTAATAATTTCTAGTTTCTAAGTGTTTAGTGTATTTTTACACCTTCTCATTGATTTGAGAATGTGTGTAGTACCATAGGTACTTAAATGACTACTCCACTTAATGAAGTTATAGGCTAAGAAATGAAATACAAGTAAATGAACATACCATATACACATCAACATAATTTAGACAATCAAATATCTATAAAAGCATGGATATATACAACAATTTAACCATGGATGTCTTATGCAGTTTGCAAATTCAAACAATTCTAGTGCACTTTATGAAGTTCTTTTAAGAAGAAAAAGTTGTAGTGGGTGTCTATTTCGTGCAGCAGGGATGTTGTGTATTGCAGTTTAAAAGTTGTAATTGTTGTATTAACGTTACAGCATTGAAATGAAGCCATTGAAATCCAGCACATATATACAAAGTGAGACCCTTGAGCTTAGAATCAATAAAAATCTGCATTATCTGTTATAGAGGATTGGACAGTGATTAAATGTGTATTGAAAAGCTTAAATGAAGTCAATATGGAGCTGTCCTTCTACATTTCGTCACTTTGATCAGTTTGTACTAATATTGTGTGAAATAGTGGTTTAAGATTTCAATTCTCAGCTTTATGATCACCATAGACTTCATAATCTGTTGTCAGCGACACTAGTTAAATAGCGTTGGTCACTAATTGGAATGCTATGTCATACGTGTACTGCTCATATTCGAAATTGCAAGGTATTACATTTGAATAGTGTGACTTCATTTGCATTGAACTATATGAATACTTAACATCATTTTGCCTAATTAAGTGCAGTGTGAAATCTGTTGTAGGTATCCTTGTGTTTAAGTGTTTGCAAATCAATTTGATGATATAAACTTGATTGACAAATCATTTGAAACCTCACAATCACTGTGTATTTAGGACTGCTGTTACATTTTTCCGCCACTTTGTTAGGTGCAGAGTTATTTTATTGCTGTTTGCCATTGTTTTTTGTGGTGTTTTTAGGCCATTTTAATTCCCTAGCTCAGATTTCAAGCTAGATCTTGTTGTTTAGGATTTTTCCTACAGTTTATTATTAGCTATCTTTGATTCTGCTGTTTTTGGTATTATGTGCTGTTTTAGCACTTTGTGCATAAATAGCACTACAATAGTCATTTTGAGAAGTTGTGTACCTTTCTGTTTTTAACCAATTATGCAAGTGTATTTGGTCATTACAAACTACTGGGCACTGTTCAAATGGTCCTTCACACTAATGTAAGAAACAACCAAAGACTAACTGCCTATGGAAGGACAAGGTTCTTAACCTTGTCCATATTATGACTTTTATCCTATTCTGCTAACTAGTTTTAGTTCTAGGTATCATGTTTTCAGTTTTAGGTACTTTTGGTAGTGTCATTTTTGTACTAGGTAGGTTTAACTGTTCTAAACTTTTTAGAACAGTGTCTGTGTAGTTTGGTAGCCTACTTTAGTATTTTGTGTTTCTTGGTCAAACATTAAGACTTACTTTAAATGTGGTTGGATGTTGGACATAAAGGGAGAGAGTGAGATCAAGTTTGGACCATAAACATGAACCAAAGGCACGGATTATAGGTCTGTTATGTAGTTTTTTACCATACAAATCAGAATTTAAATCAAATACAAGTCCACAATTCAAAATATTCCAATAAGGTTATTTACAATGCTAAAATCAACACATACCCAACAAAGTTTACAATAAATGCACATTCAGGCACCAAAAACAGGACTTTGAAAACTTCAATAAAATATGATTGAGTACATACTTGTTTCAGATGCTTAACTCCTCCTAATTTGCAACACCTCCAAATTTGACACCAACTTTATTCAATTGAACAGTGGGTCTTCCTCCAAAAAACCTATATTTGCAACATATAATAATCTTTATATACCAACTTATAATAATGTTATATATTATAAACAAACAATAGCTTAAAATGAGTAATGCACGACAAAAAGTTCAAAATTACCACTCTACTTCCATTTTAACTCAAAAAGTAATGGTTTAAACACCAAATCTGGCTATAAGCTAAAATATCTGGTGTTGAAACTAGACCAAATTGATCAAAGTACTACTTCAAGATTCAATCGGGTAGAACAAAATTAATAAAATTACTATAAAATTAGATACATAACCATAAAGTAATAATGTTAAAAATGTCATTTCAGCAGAGGCTCTGCCAGGTGCATTGGTGGGCCCAAAGCCGTCATCGGTAGCCCCAAATCAAATCATCAAACTGGCCATTATGATACATCTAACTTTGTTTTTATTTGTCTTTCTTCAACTCTTAAATATTAGACCAATGGACAATTGAACATGATCACCACCTGTTTGTAAATTTTCCCCCATCCCAGAATTTCGAAAAAAATAATACAAGGAAGAAAGAAGTACTCACCCTCTATTCAATTCCCCAACTGAAATTCTAAACACCATTTGAGATGGCATCATTTAGGCACCACCCAGAAGTGCACAGCTTGTGAAAAGAAAGTGTATTGGGTGGAACAGCTTACTGCTGACAACAAGGTGTACCATAAATCGTGTTTCAGATGCCACCACTGCAAGGGCACCCTCAAGGTGAGACCAAACACAGGATCATGCTTTATATTTTTTTTCTCTGAATTTGATCAAAGCTTCATTTGAGCTTTCACTCTTAGATTGGTCGAATGATTCTTTTTTTTTTCTTCTGGTGGATTGATGATGATTTTTATGATTTAATNAAAAAAAAAAAAGAATCATTCGACCAATCTAAGAGTGAAAGCTCAAATGAAGCTTTGATCAAATTCAGAGAAAAGAAAAGCTAAAAGCATGATCCTGTGTTTGGTCTCACCTTGAGGGTGCCCTTGCAGTGGTGGCATCTGAAACACGATTTATGGTACACCTTGTTGTCAGCAGTAAGCTGTTCCACCCAATACACTTTCTTTTCACAAGCTGTGCACTTCTGGGTGGTGCCTGCAAATGATGCCATCTCAAATGGTGATTTAGAATTTCAGTTGGGGAATTGAATAGAGGGTGAGTACTTTCTTTCTTCCTTGTATTATTTTTTTCGAAATTCTGGGTTGGGAAAATTTACAAATAGGTGGTGATCATGTTCAATTGTCCATTGGTCTAATATTTAAGAGTTGAAGAAAAGACAAATAAAAACAAAGTTAGCTGTATTCATAATGGCCAGTTTGATGATTTGATTTGGGGCTACCTGATGACGGCTTTGGGCCACCAATGGCACTGGCAGAGCCTCTGCTGAAATGACCATTCTACCATCAACCAAGACAGATAACCATGTTCATGTCTTAATCATTCAGTGTTATGTCATCTAATGTTATTCAGGTGTATTCACATTTTCATTTGCTGCAAGAGACCTTACGTGCTTTTCCCTCTCTTTTCTGCATTAGAAATTACCTTCCAAACTTACCAACAATCCATAAAACTTTTATTTTCAAAATTACAATATGACATTTTTAAATATTACTTTATATGTTATGTTATTAAATTATTATAGTAATTTTATTAATATTTGTTCTACCCGATTGAATCTTGAAGTAGTACTTTGATCAATTTGGTCTAGTTTCAAAAACATCACGTAAAAGTCATATGAAATCGCAAATGATTTTCTTAAATCTAACCTATGATAAACTCTAAGAATAGGAGTGAACTATTTCAGTAAGAAGGGTGTTTATAAAAAAATCCCGTTGACCAATGACCATGTCTTGTTAATTTCTAAAAATTAATCTGTAAAAAAAAAATGCTTGGCCGAAATATCTGACTTTAATTTTATTATTAAGTAAAAAGGTGTGGTTGATGAATAATTCAAGAATTGAAAGCAAAACATTAGTGGCCCATCATTTTTGAATAACTTTTTTCCTAGTTTTTAAGAGAGGTTCTTTTCAAAAACAAAATATTTAACTTTAAAACTTTATTTGAGAGCCAGGTACCATCATGATCTAGATATGCTTTATTTTGAATCACTTATGAATTTATTTGAGAGGCTCGTACTATCATTATCAAGATAAAAGAATAGAATGCAATACTCAGCAGCTTAAACTTCAACGAATACTTCAAAACTTAATAAAAGTTGAATTGCGATAAACGTCCTGAAATTGAAGGTTCCAAAATGTTTAAATATATGATACATGATTTCATATACAGAACAGACACTAAGAATATTCTTTTTTTGTTAATGGAAGACTAAATTATTGCAAGCATATATTCTCGTACTTCTTCAAACTCATTGTTGTGACTTTAATGATGTTGACAAATCGTGAAAACTGTACTAACTACGAAGCTAAGGCATTTGGCGTTAATGTATAGAGAAATAGTACCGCTTTAAAAAAATACAAGTCATTACATCAACTTATGTAAAAATCTTACATTTATATAGTAAATGGAATATAATTATAAAGAAACAGCATATTATTAATTTTGGAACCACAAAAAAGAAATCAACTTTCATACACGTATTGGTGTTAGCTGAGAACTTCATTCAATACTTCTATTTCATTTTTAAAGTTCCAACATTAATAGCAAGTAAAGGTCTAAATTCTTTTTTATCGTTGATGTCCATAATTACACAAGGAGAGAAGAAAGTATAATAAGCCTACTTAAATATATTAAGAAAAGTTACTATGTAATACATGTTTTTCTATATATATAACAAAGTATAAATTCGAATATTAAAAAAATAAATTCAATTGGAAAAACAGAGAGCACATTGGACTAGCTGATCAAATTTTTTTTAAAACATATATATTTACGTATTTCTGTTTTTTATGCTTTGTAAATTGGATTTAATTAGTTTAAATTCATATGGTGTGAACTAATTATTGAGTAATTTATATTTCTTGGCTAATATTAAAAAAAATACTTAATACCTTGAGAATATAAAAGTTTTTAGTTTATAATTTATATTTTTTTATAATTTAAAACAACTTTACCAACCTTTTTTATTATAATTGGTTAAATAAGCAATAACTGTTTCTCTACATTAAATATTTGTTTATATTAACTTTAAAATGCACCTAGAGAAAGATTTTTGTGAATTAGTTTTTGTTAAAACATGGTCTATGGTTCAATAAGATATATATAAGTTGTAAATTTCCTGTATTGAAATACTACTTTTAAAAAAATTCGTACTCCTATATATTTTTACTGAAGAAAAAAAACTTTTTGCTTACATATATTGCCACGAATCAACTCGGTATACATTTTAATTCAAGATTGCTTTATATTTAGAGATTTTTATCTTAAATAAGAAGATCAGTTTCTGCGTGTTTGGATCTGCATCTAAAGCAAGTGAAGCTTCTGTGTGACCATTTTTATTGTCCTGTATATTGAACATCGAGCAGATATCTGAAAAAGTTATAATGGTGAACCAACATTCTCGGGAAAAAAAACTGATTTTATTAGACAACATGGTTACAAAAATATGATCCAGAATAAAGGGAACTGGATCTTGAAATTACTAAGCATCTGCCAACAACCAGAAATCCTCTCTTGACCGTAAAATACAAGTATTTACAAAATTAATAACAAAAGGGTAGAGCAATTCTATGACATCTGGCAAGCTTTAAGAACAAATGCACAGATGTATTTACATCTAAGAGAAACCATAACTTTTTCTCTTTAAAAGGGGCGGAATAATTTTTTGGCGCATTTATGAGCGCAATGTACATTAGTAACTGAACTTTCATATTCTTCACAACCTTACCTGTATTTGGTTTCCTCGTTTCCTAACCATGAACCACTTTAGGACGTTGCATACCTTTCTCCATCTCCTCTGCGCACCACCATTGGCCGTAGAACGTGCGAGCATGAAGCTATCAACAGCACTCTGTAAATCTGCCTCAACGTGAGATTGAAGATCAGTATCAAAAAATTGCAGATGATCTTCCTCACTAAAGGCATGAGCCATTGAATCAGTGTCACAGATCAAAGAGTTCGAGACTTGGACTGGAAAACTGAGGCCCATGTTGTCGAAACTAGGCAAGCAATAGTCATCCAAGCTACTGGTTCCACCAACAGAATAAATGGATGACATGATATCCGGAGAAGAGGCATTTGTTTGGGGGTAATTGAATCCTCCAGTCTTTTGGGGACCCAAAAGCTTGTTGGCACTTGATCCCTCAGTCTTGGGAGAGCTTGGGGAGTGAAGTACATTTGTTAAGTGTGAAGAACCATCCATGAGAGAATCTTCATCTTCAAAAGTTGTATATTTCTCCCTTTGTCTCAATGCATTAGAAACTGTGCTTTGAGCCTCAACCTGATGGTGGAAAATCATATTGCCAATTATTAAAGAGAAATAAGAGAAGGAAAGAGTAAAGCAAGTAATAGGTGATGAGGGATAAATGCCTTTTCAATTTCAGACAGCTTATCTACTGTGACATACTCGCATTCAGAAAGCAGTCCAGTGACTTGTCCCACAGCATTGAAGACCACACCATGTTGTTGAGAATTAGAAGGGAAGTACACGTGCCTAGTTGTATCAAGTACACAAGTTCGAGCATGCTCCACAGTTACTTCCCACATCTTTGCAGACATCCCAGTGCCCAGTATCTGCACATTTCCAATCAATGAATTTATTCATTTGCCCAAGTGAAACCAAAGACTTGACTATTTTTATAAATTATTAGAATGTTTACCATCCAGAACTTTGGTTAATCAAAGGAGTGGTTTACTTTTATAAGAGGATGAGAATAAGATCTTATATGTTTTATAAAATGATTTTCCCATAGAGCCTAATCAAGCTAGTGACAGGAACAGAATGGGATGTCCTCATCAATGTACCTTGGAGGTTTCTGATTTGATGATTACAAAGCTAATCTAAATGCCTTGACAGTTAACATAACTGGTGAAAACTAAACAGTGCCAATGAATGTTATTGCCAAAACCCTTCAAATGACAATCTATAAAAACAATTTGAAAGTTTAAAAAAAACACTTTAAATTATTACACTGCGCAGCTTTGCTGGATCCAGATTGAGAAGCGTGAGAAACTCTCTAACAGTAAGGATCTTTTCCCGACTCAAACGTTTGTGGAAAGCTCCATCCTTGCCTATCTTTTCCAATCTCCAAACTTCATCAGACATACTAGGAGGATGGTGCTTCTTATACACTGCAGCCAAAAATCAGATATTCAAACTAAGTTTAAATTCCTCTCTTGCTTTGACAAGTGGCTTGAAATGCTCAAATATGTTCTATTATATATATCTACTGTAATCAAGGGATTTGGTTTTTTAGACTTTCAATTCATTTCCAAAAAAGAAATATAGAATGCAGATCAATAATTGATTTTACACCAAAAGGAAAATCATGGAAATATCAGATTAAAAAATCAGGACAAGTAAACAGCATGTGTCCTGGTTTTTTGTTACTATATTCTCCACATAAAAAGATGTTAAGCAAACCTATCACGACATTATGTCAATTGCATACATTTTCGAGTTGTTCAATGTTTCTTTTTGTTCCATATCATAAACATCTCAGCCTTCTAGAGTTCAAAATTAGTCTAAAAGATAAATTTTGATAGCATCTGCAAACATTAGATCTTGATACGTCTAAACAGATATAAATACTCACATTCTCCCCTGTGATCTCTGACAATAAATGATTCTGTCTTTGCTTCTCTTATTCTAACACCATCAAAGTTGTCCACAACTCTTGCCCCAAGCCTGAACCTGCGGCTCCTTGTCCAGCTTGAATTATCTGTATACGAAATTTCACCCACCATACCAACACCATCTTTAAGATATAAAATTACATCTCCTGTAAGAAGGGGCTTTTTTCCTTCCCTCTCTCTCACAATATTGCTCTTGAACTCTTCGGGCATCCAAATATCACTTTCTTCTTCAAAATCACCCTCAAGAACTACAATTTCCACCTTAGCCATCGATTCCGGTCCTGTACAGACAACCTCTCCAGTTAGGCCATCAACTAAACTTATTCTTAGGTTAGAACCATCTTCTCCTTCAATCCGACCTCCAGTAAAGACAGGCAGAGAAATGCTGTTTTCAAACTGCAGCTGCAAATTTCTTAATTCAGTAGTATGCAATTCCTTTCCACAGGTCCTGAAAACAAGTAAAAAGGATTCCTGAGAATGAATTTCAGTCAAGCTAAACAATTTCAAATTATTCAGTTATAGCATATTGTTCCAGT